GATAGATAGATAGATAGATAGATAGATAGATAGATAGATAGATAGATAGATAGATAGATAGATAGATAGATAGATAGATAGAGAAAGAGAGAGAGAGAGAGAGAGAGAGAGAGAGAGAATGAGAGAGAGAGAAGATGATAGTTTTTGCAGGAGGGAGGATGACAAGCAGACTTGTGATTCGTTTTTCGTGAGTGCAAAGCAATAATGAATACAAACAATAAATAATTCAGAAGTCAGAGATCCTAGCCAAGTGGTTGGAGTAAAGGGAAAAAGAGAAGGTAAAAGACGTAATATTGTAACGACAACCATTTTGCAAAAGAGAGTACCCATCACACAAGCTTTGAAGCAGAAAGATAGTGATTCATATTTTCATACCAGTATAATGTAAGAAACAAATCCACCACTGCAGGAGCAGTATCTCTGGTCTATAGAGAGCGGACATCATAGGCTTCCACTGTTTTATCGCGTGAGTAACGTTCTTCACAGACGGTAGACTTTCGATGATACAACAGTGTTAAAATCCACTCAGCGTTTGGCGGTCCTGAAAAAGGAAACAAAAGTACTATGTAGATTTGATTTGGTGTTATGATCAAGGTTGGGGAGGGGGGATCGTCGGTGTTGAGACAAAGGAGGAACGGGGTACGGGATTTTTTGGGGGGTGGGCTTTTGAGGTGGGAGTGGTAAGGTTTCGTGAGGGGGGTATATTTATGGACATAATAAATGGACATTTTTTACAAGAGAATGAATTCATATTAATATATAGAACATAATACAAAATAATGTCGAAGGAACAGAGTTTGGTGATGAAGTGGAATTAAAGGCAGAAGAAAGAAGGAGCAACATAATTTGTTTGTTTTTGTAAGTGTTTTACGCGCTCGCAACTGCATAAGGTCATATGAGCGCGCGGGACACATTACATTTTTTCAGTTGGTAGGAAAATTTGGAATTTTGCTCGGGTGGCGGCCGAAGCCTACTCTTATCGATTTTAGACCACCAAGGGATCTTTAACGTGCGCAACTTGCACACGGGCCCTCCGAGATTTTTCGTCTTTGTCCGAGAGGGCTAGGTGTAGATCTTTCTTACCAGAAGATCAGGGGTGTGGCTGAAAGACAGCAGTAAGAAGAAGCCAAGGAGTAGCAGTAGAAAGGCTGTAGAAAGAATCAGGAGCCCAGAGGATGGGGGCAAAGGAGATGAGGGAGTGGGGGCAGAAAGAGGAGACGAAAGCAGACGACAGAACATTTGCTAGAGAGCAAGAAAAGAGGTGAAAGGAGACAAATTTAAAGAAGAAAATTTTTCGGTCACTACCCGGATTCGAACCCGGGACCTTTGAATGAGAGGCCAACATCTTAACCTCTAGGCCACGAGAGCCCCCGAGCAACAGAAGGCTGGGCCAAACATTCTAAAGTACTACTAGAAGTGAACATCGGAGAATCGATGCTTCTGATTTTTATTCTACCGTTAGATTATTCCACCACCAATTGCTGAGCACTTGGAATATCAAACCCTCAATCCTCACCCCCTTCATCAAATACACAGACACAGACACACACACACACACACACACACACACACACACACACACGCACACACAAACAAACGCACACACACGCACACACACATACACACACACAAACACACACACACACACACACACAAACACACACACACAAATTGTCTTTTAAATGAGC